GCTTGAGAAGGAAGAGGTCGGTATCCGAGTTTGGTTGAATGTGATTAAACATGTCATCACGTGCATCATGTGCATTGGGGTGGAAATAAATTGAGAAAAATCATTGAGTCTTGAATTGACATGGTTTGATAACCGAATTTGAGTGGATTGGGTAATAGCAAGGAATCCATAGTGCGAGTTCTATTTACTAACACCGTTAAGCGAGGGATAATTCCGTTACGAGCAATAGGTGATATTGAGATAACCGAGAGAAAGTAATAGAGCAAGTAGGTGATAACACGATCACCGAGAGATTGGGCGCATGGACTTGCATATACCTAGTGGTACTCGGATTAAAATGGATGAAAATATGAGAAACACAATAAGCATCGCATATCACGTGCATCATCCTACTTACCGAACTTTGACTCATTCTCGTTATTGTATTTGTGTGTTGTTCGAGCAAAGGTAAAGTTAAGCTCGATCGAAGATGCTACCGGTTCTCGCTAATAGAGGCTCATGTGTCACTCATAAAAGTAGGAATATCTTTTGTGTCATTAAAAAGGAGTACGGGCCTAGGTTGTAAATTTTTAGGCATTTTGAATATGTTATAAATTATAGAACTATCCGTAATAATGTTGTAAATTATATCATACGTTTTCCATGGTTTAGTTTTTGTTGTGTATGATGGAGGAAGTAGGGGACTTAGTCCCAACAATGTGTCGCGCGCCGGTCACGCTTGTTAGGTAATAGGTAAGGGAGCCGGGGCGTCACGGCTTTTCTTAATTAGGATGAAATTAAGAATGAGGACAGACTTGATTCTCTCCTATATTTTAAGAGTGAGCATTTATCCGTATCCCTAAACTTTAAAAGGTATCGACTCATAAAAGGAGGGCAGTTCCTTTTATTCGGAAAATGGATGAAACAATATGATACTTGAAAAATGAGATTTTGAGAGTCTCTTTCTTTGGGTTTTCTTTCTTAATTAAATTTCAAAACTTATCAAGAATGCATTAATTCTTGTAGCATTCCAAACTTGACTTACCACTCACATTCTCATCTTTTTTAGACTACGGCGTTAATATCTTTCTTATACATTTGGTTCATGTCTCTTTTATAAGCATTGGGTTAAGGTTTATGTGTTCAAAAATATGATTTAGCTTTCTTGGGAATGATTTATCTTGTTCGTGCATGGGTTTCTAAACAATTGATTTAGGAGGTTCACATTAATGAATGATTCATCTTATTTGTTGATTTCTAAATAATTAATTTACGGGGTTTGCATCGATCAATGATACATTTTGTTCGTGTGTTCCTAACTATTTGATTTACGAGGTTCGCATCAAAATGTATCTCTTATTGTAATTTCTTGTCCTCCGCATCTCTCAAGTTTCAAAATAATTCAAAATGAATGTTCTCACAAGCTCTATGCCTTTTTTTTTTTACTATTAATTCTATGCTTTTATGACAATTTGCTTTCGTCATTTTGTTGTTTTCTTTACAACATCACTTGCTTGCTTTTTTCATTAGTAATTCATTTAGAGCTTTTTATATCTTAATTGTTCTTCTGCTCTTCTAGCTTTTATATGCTATAAAGGGTTGTGATTTATTACGTTTATTTCTAAACCTTGCCTGTTTGTTTGCTTAATATTAATTATTGTTTTTTTTTAATCTTAGAATAGAGCAATTGCATTAAACATTAATTGTTTATCGTTTTCATTACTATTTTATTTACAAACTTTTCATAGCTCAATTCTCTTCCACCTTTTATCTACCACGCACAAATCCTTGAATATGATTTATTATTATTATTATTATCATCATCATGGAAATATAGCAATTTCATTAACATTTATTGTTTATAGTTTTCGTTAGTATTTTATTTATAGCTTTTCACAGTTTAATTGTTATTAATCTCTTCTAGATTTTATCTACTATAAACCCTTGTACATGATTTATTAGGTTTATTTCTAAGCCTTGCCGGTTTGTTTGCTTGATACCAATTATTGTTGGATTCATGATATTGAAAAAGTCGTTGCCCTGTCACGGATTTTATATATTCTATATATGCATTACTTCTAATTGCTCGAGGAAGATTATATATATATATATATATATATATATCACATTTAATTAGATTTGTTAGCGATTAAAGAAAATAGAAACTAACCCGTGAAGATAATCCAAAAGAAAAAAATTCTTTAGGAATTAATTTAAAATAAGTTAAGAAGGTTGATGGTTATACATGGAATATTATATTAATTACTACTAACTAAATTAGATGAAAAATTAAAGTTGATATCAGCACTTTTTTTCCCCCTTGTGTCGGGTACGTACGGGTATCGATCACAAGCTGATGGCCCCTATTATTGCTCTATATCCGTAGAAGGAGATGTTACGATACTCTGTCAACGACTAACCCATGCATTGTTTTTCTCGAAAAGAAGGGGGGGGGCGCTGGGGGCTATTCACTATTTTTCTAGGATGGGTTAATAATGATATTAGACAGAGGAATTTTCGTAATGAGAAAATTAAAGGTGACTTGACTGGCCTTCCTCTATAGGAAAGCCTTAGAAACGATACTGTTTTTCTCAGGATCCCTTACCCAAATTAGATATTCAATACTAAATTGATTGTTAAAACTCCAACATCTTTTGAAACGATAACAATGATGATGATGATAGGCTTTAATTTGGTTTGTCTTCACTAATCTTTTCATTGATTGACATTAATAAAGTTTTTTTTATCATTATATGCATAAGGGATCATGTTAAGCATTTTCTAGATGTAACACTGTCTATCAAAATAACCAACTTTATTCAAAACTATAGTGAAAGCAAAAAAAGACATATGAAGCTAGTAATTAACCTATATATGCAGTCCATTTTGTGTACTGTGTACAACGATATATAAGGAAAACTTTACCAATACTGAGATCAACTAGCTAGTTTATGGTTCCTCATTTTTAATTAATTATATATATATATATATATATATATATATATATGTTTTTAATAGTTAGTAGTTTTTTTTCCTTTAATTTTTTTGAATAGCCAGAAAGGTACTATTGTATGAAATTACGAGTTTGTAATGCAGAAGATACCATAATTTGATCTTTATGACATGACGTATAACAAACAATAGCTGGTTTTTTTATTTTTTATTTTTTATTATTATTATGAGATAACATCTGAATACCTTTAGAGGTTGATATGTCATTTAGAAGTTGATAATCATTTAGAAGCATGCATCTGCACTGTTATGTACAAATCAATGTGCTTTTGAATTAATTTAATTAATACACGATTCAAACATTTAATTTACTTTCGCCGTGTGAAACATGTTTGCTGACCCAGTGGACTTGCAATGCAGGAAACTTCAACAATTTTAAAACAACCATGCATTAACAATACTTACTGTCTTATAAATATTTTGCAGACAAAATACCTCCATGGAAACTCATGTACTGCTCTTAAGGAAGCGATTTCCAAAGAGGTGGCATCTCTCCCCCAAGGCTACTTTTAGTGAATAAACTTCTATGTTTTGTACATTTCTCTCCCTTCAACATCAATTATACTAGCTTAAATTGAAAAGAATTTCACTTTCTTATGAAAAAAGATCAGCAAAAAGACACACCGCTTGAGAGAGAAAAGGAGTGGAAGACTAACAAATTAAGAACTATCTCAACTAAAAGATTAATTTATTAGATAAAATTTAAAATAAAATTTATATTATTTTTAATATATTTTTTTAAATAAAATTTATTATCATTATTTTTAATCTTAAAACTTACAAAACACACCATTATCTATCTTGTGTTTAATTATTTAATTTTAATTATAGAAAATGAGATAATTAAAGAAAATGAAGTGGTGATATTTGAATTTGTTATCTTATGCTTAATTATTTAATTTTATCAAAAGTGTTGGATCAAGTTATTAGATGAGTTCTCAAAATATGATCTATATTATTATCTAACATTTCAACTCAAAATTTTAATTTATTGAAAGAAATCTTAAATTACATTTATTTTATTTTCTAAGAGAGACCATATCTTTTTCAGTTTTGATGTTTTAATTAGCAATTTAAGTTTTTGAGTTGAGTATTTTTTTAATATAGTACCCTAGCTTTTTTGACTACATGGTTAGGAATTTGAATCAAATGGGCGTATCACTTGATAGCTAAGCTTAATTTTCGGTTGAGAACTACAGCTGTATAGTTTATACTTAAAAAAAAAAATCTGGAAGTCAGTTGTTCATTTTTAACTGAGATGATTTTTTTTTTTTTTTTGACGAATTCTGGTATGATAATGAGATTCAGAACGGCAAATAGCCCAGGTTCTATATATTTGCACAAGCCGCAACATGGTTTCAACTATTGATTTCTCATTGAATTCCAACATCAGTCTTTCTTATTAAACTCATGAAAAAACAAAAAGAAAACCCAAACATTTTAGCCTACAATTTAAACCTAATGAATTTGGAAGCTAGCCCTAGCTAGTAGCAATAATCATTTATGCACCCACCTGGCCAATGCACCGTCATCAAAATATTATAATAAAATAATTCCATGTTTAATTTTCCTTTCATACAGAAAAAGAAACTACGTTACGTGGAGATTCCAAGGTTGTCCACCACTTTTTTGTCAATGGACAACTCTGATTAATCACCCTTTTAGTACCAGGTTTACCATGTTTTGTTCTTACTAATCTCTCTTTTATGTTCTTTAATAAAGCTAGTACTATTGAACAACACGGGTAAAGAATTCTGGATAATTACTATCATTTTCTCATTTCTTTGACATTTCGTGAACAAGAAGAAAATTTCATTTTCTTATGCAGAAAGTGAACCCATCTATAATTACATAATTAAGATCCCTTCCATATGAAAGTTCAAACTCGTTCATCACCATTGCCTACCTTGTGTGCAGTTTTCCAAAGCCAGCCAGTCATCATTAACTTCCAATTACACTTTAGAGCATAAAATGAGAAACCTTTCATTTGATTGGCACAAAATGACTGATTAAATTGATAATCTGAGCTCTAAATCTAGTTCTTGAGTGTCACTTGATTCAGAATTTTGACTGCTAGAACCCATCGAGCTACTTCGGTGTTTCTTGTTGTGTTTTTGCGGTGTCTCCTATTTAATGGAAAACGAAAGAGTTTGACATCAAAACATGATCTATCACATTAAAATCCTAGTCTGAGAATCTTAGTGTAGAAATTTATGAAGGATAAAAATAGGTTTTCTCCACGTTTAGATCATGTGCTATTTAATTTTTTTTTTATTGAAACCGTTCATTTTTTTATGGATTGATTAAAACCTTATATTCTTTGATATTTCTGTATTTCAGACCTTTTATTATAATATTATCAATTAGTGATCGATACATGATATTATAAAGTTAAAAATCTTAAAAAATAAAAATGACGTATTGATCACTCGATTAATAATATTATAATAAGAGGTTTGAAGTAAAAAATCTCAAAAACTACAAGGTTTCAATCAAGTAAAAATAAAAAAAACTCGAAAAATACAGAGTTCAGATATGAAAATAACCTGGATGAAAACATTACCTCAACTTGTAGAGGCAAAAGGTGTCTTGTAGTCGCATTTGGTTGTCCATAATTTTGAGCCTCATAGATGCTATGCCCGGAGTTCCAACTGAAGTAAGGAAATTAAACATATTGAATTGATTAATAAGAAACCTAGACTTAATTTTGAGCCTCATAGATGCTATGCCCGCAGTTCCAACTGAAGTAAGGAAATTAAACATATTGAACTGATTAATAAGAAACCTAGCTAGTCTGAGCAAACTTCCAAGGAAAGACATGAAAATCTAGACCTTGCTCCAACGAAAAAAGAAAAACCTCACCTGAAGAATTAAATAAAATAGCATTGCAATTAAGTACCTTGCTGCAGTTGAGGGTTGAGAATCACCATATGATCTGACATTCGTTCTATCATAATCACCTAGCCCCATCTGCAATACCAAGTAAAATTGATGGTTTTATGGACAAGACATATTGTAGGAAAGCAAATGTCAAAGTAACTAATTTAAGGTCCTGCTTCTTGCAACACTATTTACTCCATTAATATTGATGAAAACATGGGAGATGGTTTGGGTTCCATATAGTTCACAAGCAAGTAGTTAGGGTTTGTGGAAATGAATAATTAAACAAATTAAGCTTTCGAATGTTTTGTTTGAGGGGGAAAAAAAGAGCTTCCAAAAGAATTCATAAGATCCTTTGAAAAGATCGCTTATAAAATACAGGAATTCATTTTGAAATTGGAATCATGTCCTTTATGAATTAACTCAAAACGACCGAGACTTTGATGATGATGTAGAGTACTACTTTCTAAACGTTAATGCAAATCCAATTGGTTGGAACTAAAATTGCTTTAGTTCTTTCTATTTCCCTCACCACTGGTTCTAATCTAGCTATATCATCATTCAAAATGCACAGTTCATGTTAATATTGATACACGTGATCATTGATTTCCCATTCAAGATGCGAACACACTCATAATTTGACTAGGTGGAATTCGATTTAGGGTTATGAATTCTATAATAAATAATTAAAGAAGAAGAAGAAGAAGAAGAAAAACAGTAATTTCCTATACCATGATGTTGGGGTAACCATAGGAAGCCGAGGATGATGCTGCTGATGATGAAGAATAAGAAAAAGAGGAAGATGGTACTGATGAATAGCCTGTTTGCATTCTTATATCCTCCTGCATGTACAATATCAACAAACATACATATTAAGTCCACGAACCCTATGAAAACTGACCTTAATTATCACACAAAGAGAGGAGAAGTGGAGAGAGAGATATACCTGCTGGTTGAAAGTTGTAGGGTAAGGAGTACTGTGAAGGGAGGGATGGTAATTAGGAACCATTTGGCCATGTAATCTGATCTTTTCCAGTTGAGCAACCCCAAGGCCTCTCTGTGGTTGCTTAGGCTTGTCTGAGTTGTTCTTCTTGCCTTTCCTTGAAGAACCACCTCTTTCATTATTTCCCAAGTTAGGCTCTCCAAAATAACCGCTACCCATGATCTTCTCTTCTCTTTCTTGATTTTTGTGAGGGAGAGCAAGAGATTTATAGTAGTAGCTAGATGTCTGATCAGCTTTGATTTGCTTTGCAAATCCCAAATTAAGCTTTCTCTTACCAGAAAGAAAAAACTTAGTGCAGGCAAACAAGTGCTGAGGAACTGGAGATCTCCAGGACCCTTTTTAAGCTGTTTGATACCCCAGTAATAATTGCATCGCTGGATCAGATTGTGTACAGATTTAATAGAAATATATACTTAGATTTTATGCTCTTTTTCTCCACCTTCTCTTTTGCCTCATTTTTAGAACTCCCATAAATTGTTTTTATATTACAAATTTTGAATGACCATTATAGTTAATTATTTAATTTAATACTCCTATCTATAATATTATTATTGTACATTTTTTTCCCCCTTTAGTTTAGAGACTTTGAAGACTATGACCTGAAAGCGATTGTCTTTGATTTTACGTCTTAAAATATAATTCTAATAACCCTTCATTAAGCATATGACTACATTCTACTTTACGCGCCATCATAGAGCGTTACCAGCTAATTAATGGGTTTAATTGGCTACCGTATAAAGACACTATTATAATTAACATTACCTTTTACTATTTTTTTTCATAAAAAAATTGCATGCATTTTATATATACTTGTTTAGCTAGATGTTAATTAAAATTAATATTGCTTAAACTTTATTTATCTCTAATGTTGTTTCAAACATATATATATACAACACGCTCTTCAAAGGATGGTGGGATTAGAATTGCATTTAATTTAGACAGTGGTATTGATCGAGTTAATTTTTTTTTTTTTAAGGTGGTCCCATTTATACTGAGCATAGCTGACATGTAAACCCTAAAAGCCCCAGCTGTAAAAATTCTATAACCAACTCATTAATGAATCATAAAATAAACGTTTAATGAGATTAAAAATATGGTTAGACGACCAAATCACTTTTAACCATTATAGATTCGAAAAATCTTGTTTGCAGCTTCTTAGGGATTTCTTTGTAAGGATCAGAGGGGCATTAAATTTCTTGGCATTCTAACCCAAAGTGGTTCTCTAGTTTTCCTCTTTTGAATGTTTTCATGAAATTAAATGCCTTCAATGGAAAATATAATATACTATTGTGAAATTTTCTGTTATTCAAAGGAATTCCAAATCCTCACATTTAATTAAAATCATTGAGAAATTAATGAGAATATGGTAAATAAATCCTTTTCTTTGTAGCAGAAGATCGTGATAATTTTGAAGTAGATAAGTATCCCATGGTTATGAAGTGGGTATGGTGGAACCAAATCTAATTGAGCTGTTTAACGCATGATTTGTGGGTCAGATGTTATGAGTTGTTGTGTGGTGGAAAGTGAGAATCCTCCAATTTTCTTATACAGACATGTGAACTCATGCAATTACCGAAGGCCCCACCAATTCCTTCATCTGACATGTCAAATTTTTTAATATTATTAAAATCAAATCATATATATAAATTATTGATTAACTATGATTACGAAAAGTTTGTCCATCTAATATTTCATACCTAACCTAATGCTTAATCTTAAAAGTTGCTAAATTAAACTAATTATCATATATAGTAATAAAATGTAATTCAATTACTATTAATATTTCTTTCTTCTTTTAAAAATTCTCGAAATTCAAAACTCTTTTTTGTAATGATAATATATAATAAATAAGCCTACCACATAAGTTTATTAGTACGCATAATTTCTCAAACCCATTTATTAAATATATACCATCACCCATATAACTTGTTTTTGTTGTAACCTTCAATGTTAATTAATTTTGACCACAAAATTAATGAGCCAGCAAAATGCAACATATATAATAAAATGAATTGTCAGCCCATTATCTTAAGTTCTTAGCAAGTTACGTACATAAAAAGTTCCTTCATATTCCTGCTCCCGCCGGCAGAATCCCGTCATCTTTCTAGTTATCCTTTTTTTTTTTTTTTTTTGCTCTTGGTGAGCTAATAATTTAAATTTAAATGGTAAATTTAGTTTTAATTTGGACACAAAATTTTTAATTTGTTAGGATATTTTGTTATTCGAGTAAGGTTTTGATGTCTATTTACTAGTTGTGATGAGTCTTTCTTATTGATTGAAACAGGTTATTGACGTTTTTTAGTAATTTTTAGATAGTATTGAAGATTATCCTTCAATAAATCACAATAATTTAATTCTTTTCTCCACCGGTGTAAAACTCAATTGTATGCATGAAGTGTAAGAAAAAAAATTATCTTGGATAGTTTTAATCGAAAAAGCTGTGATAAACTTTTGTTAACCTATGAAAAAATATTTATTACTTAAAAGATTATCATTATTATAAAAGGATTTTGGATAGTATTTGTGTGTACATATATAATTGATATTTGTGTAAGCCAAAAAAAAAGTTTTTAGTTTGTGTCTTAATTGAGTGATACAAATATTAGTTTGTGTGATACGTGGCGGCAAGAGATTGGAAAGCGAATTGATCATATGCATTGAATTTGAAAACATTCAAGATCCAATTAAAAAAAAAAACAACATTCAAGATCCAAAGTCAATATATTAGGGCATGGGTATTTTACCATAGTCAAACTATGGAGCCCAATTCCGTTCTTGCCCATATAAAAAGGGCTCTCCCATCACTGATTTTTAACACAAAAAGATATTATAAATAATTAAAATTATCTTAAATGTTAATTTGGAGCTGCATTGAAATTTACGACACTGCTTGCGTCCACATTTCTTATTCTGCGGTCTACGTTGCAGCTACCTACGCTAGCGGCCAGACTAATAAAACTATTCAATTGCCAATACTTGATGCAACCTCCCTTGAACAACAAAGTCTACTTTGAAAAGGAAAAAAAGAACATTGGCTATAATAGTTTTAAATTTTGTTCATTGTTATTAAATTCATGTCGTGAATCAGATGATTCAAATTAATACTTGTTCTATATGCGTTTGTCATTATTTAAATTGACCTCAGCTTTGTTGGCCTTACCAATTTAAATTTGTGTGAGTGCATAGACCTGCAGAAGTTTGCTATGGGTGTTGCATTTCCATCCGCACGTATCCATACTTTTTTCTAAACAAAAATTAATTAGCATAGGCATGCATAATCTAATTCCATTGAAAGATGTAAGAGAAACTAATAAAGTCTTTTGTAAATATCTAGATGTTTTTTTTTTCATTGTTGATTAAAAGTTTGAAATCAATATTAAAAAAATTAAATTCTTCTAAATATATTAGGCCAATATAGAAATTGTATCTTTAAAATTGCTAAAAAAAAAATTTAGTCTTGATTCATATACAAAGTGATTCGGTAACATTAAAAAAAAAAAAATCTTCCACCGAATCATTATCCCACATTATAGGCTCATAATCCTTTGGTTATATCAATCAATAACATAATTGTAATGGATTACTCTACATTTGGTCTCTCGTACTTGTTCGATTTTTTTTATTGAGATCTTTTATAATTTTTTAGTTTGATTGAAACCTTCTACTCTTAAAATTTTGTTGATTCGGACCCTTTGTTAATTGTTCATCCGACGTGGCACATTAAAATTATAGTGGTCCAAGTAACAGTATTTTCATGAAAAAAAATTATTTTTTTTATTATTAAACGAATATTTAGTATTTAAAAATTATTGGCAAAGACCACATTACCCTCACCTTCTCATCTTAACCCAACTCATTATTTTTCCTCTATTTTCATTTTCTCAAATCTATTCTTCCATTTTCTTTAAGTTCAAAAATCTTAACCCTCAAATCTCTAAAATTCCCCTCAAAATCCCTTAACTAAATCCTAATTTCATCCTACCTCTTAATTTTCAACCACTCGCTTTCAAATCAATTTCGAAGCAAAATCAAATTTGAGTTTCCCAAAATCTCAAATTTGTAATTGTCAAGTTTCTCTTGGTAAACATGGTCCAGTTCACCATCAACAAATCAAATTTGCAATCTCGGCTTCTAAGCTCGAAGAAGTGCTAAAATCCATAGGATCCACCCATACCACGAAAGAGCTCTATCACACCTTGTAGGACGTGGACACCGACAGAGATATGTACAAAAATCTTGTAAGGTGGACGAATGTGTGCAGATGGGCATGTTGATTTTGAAGAGTTTCAAAAGATGATTACTTCTAACATCAATAACGAATCCGTTGTTATGGGTCTCTAGATCATTATTTGGGATGGTGGTGATTGATTTGATTAGTGGATGATGATGATGAAGATGGTGTTTAAATTTAATTAGTTTAGATAAGCAAAAATTTGAAAGAGGCCGACGGTATAGATTTTTTCTTTGTGTTTGTTCCCGAATGCATAAATGGTGATGGGATTTTGATGAACATAATGGATGAGTCGAAGGATCATGCATCCTATGAAGGTGCATAATAAACAAAAAAATTTCTCCATCTAAGGCTCTAAGATCAAGCCGTTGAATCTATTAACCATACATACATGGATTTAAGGCAATGAATAAAGAATTATCTCTTGTAGTGCAAATTCAAATACTTTTATAAGAAAAGCTACCCAATTATTCGACCTCTATTGATGATCCACGTAGTCCAAGTATGCATAAAGAAGCACTCAAAATCGATAGGGTGTCGGCTCTATCGTTTTCCGATTTATGTAGTGTTTCCTATATAATCAATCTGGATAATTTTACGACAACCTTAAAAGAGAAGAAAAGAGTATATTTGTGTTATGGTTTTTACGGAAAACTATTTTCTCTTTTTTCCTCACTTTGCTTGTGTGCTCGAATTAGTTTTTAGGGTCGATCGAATTTTTTCTTTTTCTCTCTATTTTTGCTTAGTTGTCGCACCTCTCTTCCTCCCTTATATTTATAGGAGAGTTTCCTTGTCCTCCAAGGATAAGGAGAGGGGCGGCATTAAGTCCCATTTAGGACTCGAGGTTATTGTTTCCTTATCCTTCAAGGATGAGGAGTTATTTCTACATGTGGACTTTTGATTATTATCTTCAAAACATTCATTCTTATCCAATAAGGTTAATGTTTATTCTCCCACCAAACTATCTTAAGGCTTTTAATTAAACCTAATGAGGCCAAAACCATTTTAGCCTAATTAATTTATTTGGACTATCCAAATAAATAATCTTAGATTATTTTAGGCGAGTTCACATTAGAAAATAACTTTCTAAAATACCCTTTAACCTAAATTAGGAAACTCATTTCCATTTTAGGTTATTTACTTTCAAATTTGGAACTAACTTTCAAATTAGGAAACCGATTTCTAAAATAGAAAACTTTTCATTTTAGGAAACTTTCTAATTAAGGAAACTTTCCATTTTAAGAAACTTTATATTTAGGAAAACTTTTCATTTTAGAAATCCTTTTTAAAATAGGAAACTTTCATAATTGAAAACTTTTTTCAATATTTTTGCTTCTCATTTATAATGTGAATACTTCAACTTATGCATATAACTCAATAGGCTTCTAGATATATTGGCAATGTATCAAGAATAAAAGCCTCCTCTTTTATCTCTTGATACATAAATCAAGATTGACCTCTCGTAAGGCATCATGACTATCCAATTTTTTAGGAGGATTAATTAATCCAATATTACCTTTTACGAGCATGGTTACCATATAATTCAATCCTCATGTCAACTTATCACGAGTATAATTTTAAACTTTATTATAAGCCTTGTTCGATTATGCTTACATAAGTTTTCTTCAATTTCCAAATGTCTTAGCTCTTAGAGGAAACCAACTATGCTCTATTGATGCACTCCTATTGTGGACATAGATTTCTTGAGCGAACATTTATCAAAGTGTAATGTGATAGCTCCTGTAACATGTAAGAATGACATGTCTTATCTTAGTCATACACTTGTCTCCATTAGATTTATACTGCACCCAATGAATCACCCACATGCAACCCTTTAAAAGGTCCATCAAAATGGGTGTCAAAGTGTATAAGTGCTATAATGAGACAACCGTGATGACTTCAAGTCTAAAGATCATTTGTACCCATCTCGTATGAGATTTTCATAAAAAAAATCAAATCGGTTCTCTTGGTAAGTCAAGTCCACTTATATGTTTTCTAACATAAATTACCTAAGTGCTTGCTTTGGCATCACTATGTTAATAGGTATGCGATCTCCTACTGCTATCATATAGCATGGACATAGCACTCATAAGTCTATTCATATATAGTCAATATCTATTTTTGATAATACTACGACTTAAGATGTTTAATGATATCATTTATATGCATTAGTGTTTGTTTCAAATCTTTCGATCAATCACTATTGCAACTCGTATATCAAAAGGACTTCTATCTAATTCTACTAAATTTACAAACATAAAACATAAGAATTAATAGAATGACTTATTCATTATTATTAAAATAAATAATGCAATAATACATTAACTCAAGCTCATCCAAACATGGTTTGATCTTGAGCACCTACACTAACAATTTTTCACTTGCACCGGAGCCAACCAGCCATGTCTCTTAATCTCGATGACCAAGTGAGGGTCTCATGTTTCAGCTATGATAAAGGTTTAGTCTAAGGGTCAGCTACGTTACCATTGATGTGGACCTTTTTTTATCCTTTTGTTACTATGACTTATTTATCTCTATAACTAAGTGGTACTAATGCGATACATGCTTAGATCGTTGATGACACTTTAATTCCTTAGCTTGTACTATGGATCCTTTATTATCGACCATCAAGCTATATAACATTGGAATAAAACTTTCTTTGATTTTTTCATACTAAATCCTTTTAGTATCATGTCATTGAAACTACCTTGAGAGACTCTTCACATTCCAAGTGATCTATCTCTCGTAGATCTATACTTTTAGACTTGTAGGTTTCTCCTATGTCATTCATGAAAAATTCTTCTAGATTCCTTAATCTTTTTTTACAACATGATAATATTATAGTTAAGGTGTAATTTTATATCGAATAACCATGATTAGTAAGCTCCCACTAACTTCTTATATACACAAGGTTCTTCTTTATTTTTATGAATAATCAAACTTTTTGATCGTTTCATAAAATGTCGACTTTTAATCCTCCATGCACGCTTAAGTCTATTAATGAACCTTAGCATTTTGTAAATATTATTTGCATGTTCTTGGGAACAATTAGAATGCATAATTTACGCATCCCTTTTTTTTTCATTTGCCTTATCTAGGAATCAATATCTAACATTGCTATTTCAAAAGTATTAGCTTCGTCATCCTTTTAGAGCTCATATCATCGTGTGTTAAGACGAAAAGATCTTATCTTTTTTGTCTTGTGATAAATTTCTTTTAAACTTATGAAATTCTAATGTTTTGTTTGTAAGAGAGTTACAATACTTTGTAATTATTCTACTTTATGATTCCTTTATTAGAGTGTCAATTTACGAGTTTACTCAAATCTCATTTAGTTTAAATTTCCTTTCACTATTTTTAGCATGCATAAATTCCTTCCCAAGGAATATAGTATGCCTAGTAATGAACAACACTTTATTCTAGTGGTAAGATATTGACATCCTTATGTTTCTTTAGATATCTCATAATTTAGCACTTTATAGATTTTAGGCTTTAGTTTTTCTTTGTCAAACCTTTTGACATACAATTTATACCCTTAAATCTTAAGGAAAGATGAGTTCATTTTCTTTCCTTTTCTATATCTCATATATGATCTATTTAAATAGATTTATTTGGAATCCTATTCAATGTAAATGTTACATTAAGGAGGATTTATCCAAAAATTAGGATATTAATTTGACTCATTATGGATCGATCATGTCTAACATGTGATATCTATGGAGAATCTCATTCTCCTTTTTATGATCTAAAATTTTAGCATTCAAGTATTTATTTCCTCGATCTAATCGAGATACCTTAATACTTTTGTTAGTTCTTCATTTGACTTTTCAAGTCTAAACTTTTAAACATTTTAAATGCTTTGGACTTATGTCTTATAACCAAAATATGATCCACTATCATTAAAGGTTATGTGACAATTATGTTTTCCTATTGCTTAGATGAACATATGCCCATATACATCTCTATGTATAAGGTTTATATTAGTAACTCTTTCTCCTTTTCAACTAAAAGGG